GGTTCCTCAAAGAGCTGGACTTGGATATCCCGGTGTTGAAAATCTTGGGAGGCAGCTCCGTCGTGGACCTGTTGGGCGATGCCATCTCTTTGCTTCCTCCATCCGTGGTAGATTTGACTCAGCTCAAAGACGGCATTGAGACTGCGGTCGGTGCATCGCCCCAACAATCGGCTTCCTCCTCAGCGTCCCCCGATTCTGCTAGAACGCCAGAATCCAGCACCAGTGGCACCCCGAAGATGGTTGCCGATGGCACTCGCACACCTTTGACGCCGCTGAATCTGTCAACATCTACAGCGTCTCTTGCGTCCGAAAAGCCTTCCGAGGCGCCAGGTACGGCGCCAACCCCCGAGTCCGTCCCTACACTTCCTGACGAGTCTTCCAGCATCATGTCTTTCGGTCAATCCGGCTTCTGGTTTCTAAACGAATCCCTAGAAGATTCCACAGCCTCCAACATGGCAGCCATGTTGAGGCTCAATGGCCCGATTTCTAGCAGCAGGCTGCAGGCGGCTTTGCAGATTGTTGCGCAGCGCCACGAGATTCTGCGCACAAGATTCTATTGGGACGAAGAGGATGACAATAGAATTCCCAAGCAAGGCGTTCGTGGGGAGAGCTTATTAGAGCTGGTGACCAAGGAGATTGCGTCGGAAAGAGAAGCAGTGGATGAGCTTGATTCCATGCGTAGTGTCCGGTGGAACTTGGAAGACGGTTTTACAATGAAACTTTCCCTACTTAGTTTGTCCCAATCAGCGCATTTCATGGTTGTTGGCGCTCACCACATTATTCTGGACGGGTATAGCTTCAGCATCTTCTTCAAGCAGCTCGAGGCTGCATATCAACAAACTTCGCTTCCAGCTATCTCCCCATCGTCGCAATATAGTTCGTTCGCAGTACAGCAGAGACGATCATCCGACAACAACGAATTTGAAAATGATCTGAAGTATTACCGCCAGCACCTGCCGTCCACGTTTCCGCCAATTGAGCTGTTGCCGTTGGCTAAAGTCAAGGGACGACAGCCTCTGAAAACGTATCGTCAACACATGGCGACGGTAAAAATCAATGCGGCTGTAACCTCAAAGATCAGACTGCTTGCCCGCAAATCTCGGGTGACTTCGTTCCATTTCTACCTCGGCGCCCTCCAAGCACTCTTATTCCAGATGCTGCCGAAGAGCGAGAACATCTTTATTGGCATCGCAGACGCGAACCGTCTGGACAAGCGGTATATGGAGAGTATTGGCTTCTTTCTCAATGTTTTGCCTCTTTTCTTCCAGCGGCCAAAGGCAACAGCCACGGTGTCAACAATGGTGCAATCTGCTCGCGATGCAGCATACAGCGTCCTAGGACATTCGCAACTACCGTTTGATGTTTTGCTTCGCCATCTCAACGTCCCCCGATCCAACACGCACACGCCACTTTTCCAAGTCTTTGTAGACTACAGGCAAGTTGTACAAGAACGAGCGACGTGGGCTAATTGTACACTTTTGGGAGAGCAGTGGCGCAACGCGTCTACTGGTTATGATATTGCCTTGGAGGTCACAGAAAATGTGAATACGGATACGCTGATTAGCCTAAGTCTTCAGGATACGCTCTACACAAAGGAGAGCGCTGATCTTCTTCTGCGTTCCTATGGGGAAGTGATTGAATTCATGGCAGATGCTGCTACAGCCACGTTTAGTGCCGTCCCGTCTTGGTCTCGCCTCGACACCGAAACTGCTTTGGCAGTAGGGAAAGCATCGTCAATTGCCACCGAGGGGTGGCTTACACTTAGTCACCAAATTCAAGGAAGCATTACAAAGTTTGGGACGAGGCTAGCGTTAAAGGATGGCAATGGTCACGCCATGATGTACGAAGACATGGGCAAGCGGATTGATTCCATTTGCAAGGCCCTACTCCAGACTGGCATCTCACAAGGAGCCATTGTTGGTGTTTTCCAGCAGCCTTCTTGTGATTGGATTTGCTCCATGCTGGCCATCCTCAAAGTTGGCGCTGTGTACCTGCCACTAGACCAGCGCAACTCCATCCCTCGACTCAAGAGTATCTGCAAAGCCGCCAAGCCAGCTGTTTTAATCACAGACGACTCAATGACCAGCCAAGCTGGCGAACTGGATGCTAGCGGCGCAACGGTATTGGCACTCAGCAGCGTGGACTATCACCAGCCAGAGGCAACTGCAACCCTCGCAGAGCCAGATAGTGATGCAGTCATTCTCTTCACGAGCGGCTCTACGGGAGAGCCAAAAGGCATTCGACTCAGCCACCGCAACCTGTTAGTTTCCGCCCAAGGGTCGAGCAGGACATTCGAGCACAGCAAGGAGGATTCCTTTGTGGTTCTTCAACAGAGTCCGTTTAGCTTTGATCTTGCCCTGGACCAGATTTTCGCTGCCGTTGCTCACGGAGGAAGTTTGTATGTTGTTCCGACCGAGCATCGTGGCGATCCCACGGAGATTACCAAAGCCATGCTCATGGAGGGTGTTGCGTACACCGTCTCCACCCCGTCAGAGTACGACATGTGGCTTCGCTATGGATTCGACAATTTGCAAAAGTGCACCAAGTGGACGCATGCCTTTTCGGGAGGCGAGTTTATGAAGCATTCTCTTGCCCGCAAATTCGCAACTTTATTCCTGCCGCAGCTTCGCGTCTTCAATGGTTACGGTCCAGCCGAAACAACCATGTTTTCCACTAGAGGGGAACTGGATTACGCGTCTGATAGCCTACCAGATCCGTTACCCGCCGGATACATGTTCCCAGAATATTCTGTTTGCATTGTCGATCCAAACGGGCGCCCTGTACCGTTGGGCGTTCCTGGAGAGATTGTCATTGGCGGACCAGGTGTTGCGGCTGGGTATTTGGATATGCCTGCCGTGACGCGTGACAAGTTTGTTGCTGACACATACTTTGGTACCGCTTATAAAGTCTATCGAAGTGGTGATCGTGGCAGACTACTGCCAGGCGGCCTTTTACACTGCGACGGGAGATTGGATGGAGATTCGCAAGTCAAACTACGCGGTTTCCGCATAGAGCTGGCAGAGATTGAAAAAGTATTGATGGCATGTGCCTCAGGTGCTTTGTCTCATGCCGTGGTTACTCTGCGCGGCGAAGGCGAGGACAAGTACCTCGCAGCGCATCTTGTCTTTGCTGCCAGGTACGCTGAGGGGGACAGGATCAAGACGCTGAATTCTCTTAAGAAAAGCTTTCCCCTGCCATCCTACATGCGACCAAGTGTCTTTGCTATTCTGGAAGACATTCCAAAGACACTTCATGGCAAGATTGATCGCAAGACTATTCAAACGTTGCCCATTGACTCCCATGGTAGCAGTTCCACCTCTGTTAGCCTGACCAGCGCAGAGGCTACGCTGAGCAACCTCTGGCGCGACATTCTTCCGGTTGATCCCGGCAATCTTGAGCCATTTTCGGATTTCTTTGCTGTTGGTGGAAACTCCCTCCTTCTTGTCAAGCTTAAGCACAGCATACAGCAAGCGTTCCTTGCCGCGCCAACGCTAAGCACGCTTATGGGAGCCACGTCGCTGACTGACATGGCGACGGCTATCGAACGAAGTCAACCGAGTGATGAAATTGATTGGGACCGGGAGACGGCCATTCCTGCATCGCTTAGCAATGTCACCATGAGCCAGCGTAGCCACAAGAACGCCAGCCTGACGGTAGTCCTAACGGGCGCCAGCGGTTTCCTTGGCCGTCATCTTCTCTCCCACCTCGTCAGAGATGCTAAAGTCGCGCGAATCATTCTTCTCGTACGTGATATTGCGCACATACAGATGGTAGACGGCAAGAACAAGGTGTCCATTGTGGAAGTCGACATCACCTTGGACCAGCTTGGGCTCTCTTCTGATGCATACCTTGCCATTGTCTCCAATGTGGATGTTGTTATCCACTGTGCTGCAAACAGGTCTTTCTGGGACTCGTATCAGGATTTGCAATCCATCAACGTGCAGTCTGTCAAATCTTTGACACGACTTGCTCTGCTAGCAGGAAGTTCTCTTCACTTCATTTCCTCTGGTCGCGTTGTATTGTACGGGGATGATGTTCTTCCGCCCAAAGATGGCAGTGACGGGTATGTTGGTACGAAATGGGCAGCAGAGAAATTTCTCCAAAAGATTTCGACGGAAAAGAAACTGCCCGTGTACGTTCATCGACCCGTGGGAGTTTCCAGAGAGAGCAAAGGAGGTGTAGATCAAGATGCAGTACTCCAAGAACTCACCAGGATTATGGGTCGGATCGGCTCACGCCCATCCTTCGAAGGCGTCGCAGGCTCTATCGACATCTTACCCCTGGATGAAGTTGTATCCCTTGTCAGCAAGACGGCTTTGACAAGCACAGAAAGCCAAGACCAACCAAAGGGTAGCATGCCACTGGAGGTTGTTTACCACTCAGCAAGACTCAGAGTATTTGTGAAAGAACTCTCCCTCCACGTGGAGGCAGACGACGATCTACGCCAACTCCCAAGTTTGCCGATTTTGGACTGGTTTGGGAAGGCTAAACTGGCAGGATTTTCGTATTTGATGGCGGCGCAGGAGTTGAGGATGACATCTGGAGGCGAAGAGCTAGTGTCACGGCGTTAAAAGGTGTAAAAGGGGTAGAAGGTTGGAGTTTGCGTTTTTGGTATTGAATATTGTTACCATTTTCATTCATTTTCTGTTATTTCCCGCCAAGCTTCATTATTTTCTATCATCTCCCGTTAATATTTAATATTTAGTTATATTCTATTAGTTTCTATTAGATGAAAAAAAAGGAAAGAAAAAAGATGTTGCCCTAAAAATACTCCATAGTGGTTCCTTTATTAAAACTAGATCGCAAAGCCCATAAAGCCTACTCCGCATAGCCCAGCCGAACCCAAGCTTTGCGAAACGCTAATTAAACCCCATTGTAAATTTCAAACTAGTGATTCTATGAACAATATAGAAAAGCCCATTATAATCCCCAATAACCGATTATTTCAATCTTATAAAACCCCATATCTTGACAAACTTTCGGCACTTTTCTTCGCTCATCTAAAGATCAACAGAAAACCTGGTTCGGAGATATCCTCCGTACTGGTAGAAAAGCCACGGGACAGGTGTAAAGGCCAGAGTGATGAAGCCAAGCACGCTGTTTCCCCATCCCAAACCGAGCTTGTTGTATAGGGGCGCGGCAGCCAGGTCGAGAAAGGCGCCAAAAGGCGAACGAACGAGCAAGTTGGCTGCGATTGCCGACGCTGCAGCTGCAGCCCCGAACGAATCAACAAGGTAAATCTGGCCAGGGATGACGACAAAGAGGCAGCCAATACCAATAATGGTTGTTCCAATAATGGGCACAATCCAGTGTGTGTGGTAGTAGGCGCTCCAACCGTACATGAAGCAGCCCAACGGGGTGATGGGCCCAAACCACTTCATGAGAATGAGACGCTGTTCAGGTGCCCCAACGGCACCACCCTGCTTCTGGCCAAGGAGCTTGTCGCTAAGCACGGAGAAAAGAATGAGTCCGCTAAACATGCCAATGCCCAGACCAAGGTATGCGAGACCGGACATGCCTTCGTCAAAGCCGTAGACGCCGTGGAAGACGGAAGGGAACGTGGTAAAGAGGAGGAAGATGATACCAAACATAAGACCTGTGTAGAAGGAGATGAGCAGAACAATGGGCGAAAAGATGAGCAGCTTGAGGGGGCGAACGATGGCGCGCAGCAGCAGCTGCTTGGGAGTGAGGTTGGAAACGCGGGCGGCCACAAGATCTAGGTTGCCTGTTTCCTTTCGCAGCCGTTCCACCTTTCTGCTCAAAAGGACCGTAGCATTTGTCTCGTGCATCAGAGCAAATGTGGCAGCAGTAATTATACCAGACTTTCCCCGAATTAGCCGAAATTCTATGTCCCTAACTATGGGTACGTACCAAGATGAGAATAATTCTAAACGTCCAGCGCCAGCCGAGGTACTGAGACACGAAGCCCCCAATAAGGGGACCGAGGATCTATTTGAAGTATAAGCAGGCGAAAAATCAACGCTAATTAAGACAACCTACTGGTCCGAGGATAGGACCCATGGTGAAAAGAGCCATGGCCCTGCCTCGCTTCTCCTGCACAGTAACGTCGGCAACGGTGCCGCCACCAATACTCATCGGGCCAGAGGCGGCGCTGCCAGCGATGAATCGAAAAACGAGAAACATTGCCGTGTCGGTGCTAAAGGCGCATCCAAAGGTAAAGGCGAGGTAGACGACGTTGCAAACGTTGTAGATGACCAGGCGGCCGTAGAGCTCGGACAGAGGGGCAAAAATGAGAGGGCCAATAGCGAAGCCAAGTATGTAGAGACTCACGGTCATGGTTTCGAGGGTGCTGTCGGTGATGCCAAATTCGTCTGCCAGTTCCGATGCCCCGGGCGCAAACATTGTCGCGGCGAGGTTTCTGTGCGTCTGTCAGTTTACGATTTCCATCAAGGGCTATCACTATTTTCGATATCACATACGCTGTCAGGGTGAAAATGCTGACAATAGCCACATGAAGGTTCTTGCGAGACGCGGGCCAGTTGAGCGGGTTAGCAGGGTCATCGGGGCCATCCCAATCGACCACGTTGGGGTCTTTGAACTCGATAGGCTTGATGAGTTCGGTGTCTTCGACATCAGATGAGATCTTGAAGTCGGTTTCGTTGGATACTGCCATGGCCAAAATGTCGTTAATGTTGCGCGGCTAGTACTATTATGTGCTTGTTTCGTGGTTTGAATGAACAATAAGGAATGGTTTAACTTTAGTGTCACGCAGGTAAAACACATTTAAGTATGGCGATGCACTATGGTACGTAATTTCACCTTTACTTCCCCTGACTCTTGACTCAGTTGGATGTGGCTGTTATATCCTTCTCCGTCCCCGTATCTCCATTCTCGGATCCGCCAGACAATCTGCCCCTATTCAAAATAACAGATATTAGCCGATATTTCCATTGTTCCCTATGAGCAGGGGCCAGCATACCAAAAAAGCAAAAAAAAAATTGAGCATAGCCTTGTGCCGTGGTGGCTGCTGCCAGCCCACGCACAGAACAGAGCTATGGCGCGGAGGATCGGAGCGGAGGATCGGAGCGGAGCATCGGATGAGAGAACCGGGGGGGGGCACGATCGGGAAACCGGGCCAAAAATGTTTCTTTGTACTTTAGGTACAACTGCGTAGGTACACTGTGATAGTTACGGGAGCAATTTAATCAGGGCGATCGATCGGCCCACTTCCATTTTTGGAGATATTTCCCTTATTTTATTTTATTTATTTATTTTACGTTACCCCAGTTCTACACTAAATGTATTGTAAAACGTCCAACGCTTTATTTCTCACACGCAATACGCCACTTGACTTTGTCCTTTTTCACGCTCACCTCCCTTCACCATGCTCTCCTCTTGGCCCGACGCCACATTATATTCCCGCACACAACAAGTGGACCGGGTCTTATCCGCGCGCAGGGAGGCTTCGACTGTAACGAAGCAGAAACTCGTCTCTTAATGTCGACAGACACGTTTGAACCCGGCGACGACGACGACTCGCCGCTCCCGGTATGGGGGCCGGGCAAAACCGCCGCTGGGAGAGCGCGGTTGCCATCCAGTCGCCGAAGGGACAGAGTCCTGCTATCCTGCAATCTCTGCCGCAGGAGAAAGTGAGTTCGCCCGTATGACCCGCGTAACGTGCTTCGTTCGCACCCCGCTTTGCCCACCCTGCCCATCCACACTTAGTCTCGTTTCTCCTCACGCTGACACCTCTTAGGCTGCGCTGTGACCGACAGCAACCGTGCGAAACTTGCACGCAGAGAGGACTCGGCTTGTCCTGCGCGTATACTCCCAGCCCCCAAGCGCTGGGAGACGGTACCGCGCAGCATGTTCGCCCTGTGGCTACCGTGAAGGACCGCATCAAGCAGCTCGAGGAGCTGGTGGTCGACCTTATGCAAAAGACGTCAGCGACGAATGCGCCACCGCTAGCTTCGTCGAACCCGTCTCCTAGCGCCAACACGCCACTGGCCGCTAATCATGCCTCCCCGAGGGTGTCGCCGTCGGCCACGCCAGCCGCAGATGGTGCTCACCGAGTCAACTCATCAGACTCGGATCACGGCAGCATGCGGCTGACAAAATCCGGGGCAAGCTATGTCAACGGAACGCATTGGGCTGCCGTGTTGGATGGCATAGCGGAGCTCAAAGATCACTTTGATAGGGACGATGAGGCGCATCCGCATCCCCTCGGCACTGCGCAGCCACCGCAGGTAAATCTGAGCGGGCCGCAACTTATACACGGCTTTACGAAGGTCACTACCAGAGATGAGATATTGGCGTCGATACCGCCTCGCCATATTGTGGACAGGCTGGTCTCGCGGTATTTTAATTCGTTTGAAATGTCACCAGGTAAGCAAAAGTAACCCGCCATGTAGACCAGAAGGCTTACACTGTGAACGTCATACAGCTGTATTGCATAGTGTCCAATTCTTGCGGGAAGTATGTTGCCATGGTGATGTTGTATTATTGCTTAGAAGCGGCAGATTCTGACTGATAAATTTTAGTACCGCGAATTCTGGACAGATAACTCGGAAACACCAATCATTTGGATAGGCCTCTTGTTCAGCATCATGTGCCTCGCAACCTTGTTTGAGCGGTTTCAGCAAGGTCCACAGGATCAGGTTCCTGGAACGCCTTCCAAAGACGAACTCCAAGACATGGTGAGCAATTTCAGGCTCCGCATCGTCCAATGTCTTATCCTTGGAGACTACACCAAAGGGGGCGTGTATGTGTTAGAGACCCTCTTGCTATACATGGCCGTCGAACTATTTCTTCGAAGAGACGCCGAGATTGGCATCTGGATCCTTCTCGGCATCATTGTCCAGCTGTCCATGCACATGGGCTACCACCGAGACCCAAAGAACTTTCGCGGCATCTCTCCCTTCGACGGCGAGATGCGAAAGCGAGTCTGGGCCACAATGTTGGAGGTGCAACTGGGCATCTCGATGCAAATGGGCCTTCCGCGGCTGATTGCGCAGTGGCAGACCAACACCACGGAGCCGTCCAACTTGCAAGACAACGACTTCAACAAGGACACAGTCAGCATGCCTCCGTCGCGGCCAGAAACAGATCTTACGCCCATGGTCTTTCGCATCGTCAAAGCTAGGATGATGACAGCCATTGGCTACATTTGGGACTTTGCCGCCGACACAACAGCATGCAGCCGCGAAGAAACTGAACGCATGGAAAAGAACCTCCGAGACGCGCGCGCCTCGATTCCCGAGTGTCTCCAGTGGCGGTCCATGGCAGACTGCATCATGGACTCCCCGCACGTCATCATGCAGAAGATTTGCCTCGAGATCATGTTTTACCGCGCCAAGCTCATCCTCCACCGCAAATACCTGCACCTCTCGCTGTCCAACGCCGACTACCATCAATCCCAGACGGCATGCCTCAACGCGGCGCTAAAGCTACTCGCGTACCAGCAAATTCTCGAGGAAGAGACGCAGCCGTTCTGCCAATTGCACCACGAGCGGTGGAAGGTGTCTTCGCTTGTAAATCACGATTTCCTGCTAGCGACCAGCGTTCTCTGTCTCTATCTGAAGCAGTCGGCGGGTGATGCTCATGCGCAAGCAGAATCCCCGACTGTGCACGACATTCGCACGGCGCTGAACCAGGCATATGGCATTTGGCTGCAGTCAAGCGATACCTCGCGAGAGGCGTGGAAGGCAGCGAAAGCTCTGAGCATAGTCTTGTCGCAGCCAGGACCAGGCAATGTGCGCCACGACGAGCAGCCGATCTCCTCTTTGAATGTATGGGGCGATTATTTTGAACGTAGGTTTTCACTCTCCTCTACCATGTCAATTTTTGGATATGAAGCCTGTTTTGCATCCGTACTAACACTGGCCTACACAGAATTTGTTCTTCAGTTCCCTCCGCTGGACGGCTCTGTTCTGATGGATTGGCCCCTTGCGAACAACGACGCTATGTACACTGCTGGCATCCAGGATACATCACAAAATATTGGCTGGCCAATGACGGGTTGTAAGTAAGCCATCATCTTACTCTCTAGCAACCCTAACTAATAATGAACAGTTGATGGGGATGCCATGCACTTGGAGCAGTAGAAGCATTTTTATGCAAAATGATGCCTTGTAAAGATCTTGTAAAGGTCATATTTTACTACGTGAAAAATTCATATTTGTTCTATTCATTTTCAGTCTAGCGTGCCCCCTCTAACATTTGCTGCACTGTTGTGCCAACCCAAGCTCATCCTGTCTCGTAAGAGCATCCGTAGCCAATGCGCTTTTGCCGACAAAAGACCATGATTTCCAGCATCTTGGCCATTTCTTTGTAAAAGAATATATTGTGTCAATTTGGATTCAAATATGCAGGAGGCCGGCTCGGGCTGTCTTGGTCCCTGTACATTGCAGGTGGCCGCTTCCCCTCTCGGCAGGATTTGCAAAGATTCGGGAAGCCCTATCAAAGATTCGATAGGTTGAAATGCATCCAAAAGCAGCTGAACAGCTAGCAGGATCTTGCCGTACCCCTCGTATGCTGACGAGAGGTCTCCTAGACGAAGCCTATCGCTTTTGCTCACCGCGGCCGTAGCGTTGTGACCAAGCGACGCGTCGTCCTCTCGGCGGAGAAAACTTTCAAACTGCGTCAATACTAGCGTCAAGAGATTTTCTAGCTGCAAGTAGCCGCTCAAAAGCAGCAGAATGGTAGATGTATCCGTGAACGAACCGTCTTCTCGCGTCACAGTCCTTTGATCAGAGGGCGACAGCGTGGAGTATTGACGGTGGCCGTGCGACTCACACATGTCTCGAGGCGGAATCTCTACTGAATCTTTGCGTGCTGGTCGCTGGAAGCAACAAAGCAACCTTTCAAAAGCGTTGGCCAGGGACAAAACTGACCCCACGGGATATTCCTGTAAGTCAACCTGACTCTCTTGTGATGCCCAGCGGCTCCTTGCTAGCGTATCCAACGTGCTCTGAATTTCGGCCATGAGCTTCAATATTTGCTGCACCATGGGCGCTGGCGTACTCGAATCGCACGATTCTGACGCGGTGGAATGCGGGTTGTGCATTGCAGGAGAAGCTGTCGTTGAGGAAGCAAGACGTGGCACGGTGCCATCATGGTTCTCTTCTGGCTCATTGGCCGAGGGCTGCGGAGACTGCAACAAATCTATGCAGTGACGAGAACCCATCTCCATCCATTCGGGTACTGGGCTTTCTGCATTGCTCTCTGTGAACAACGTCGAGAGCTGCGGGAACATATCCGGGTCAGACATTGCGTCCGTCAAGGAGCCGTCTTGGTATCCCCATAGCCAGAATAGGGAGTCTGCATTAGGTAGTGAAGATGGCTGTAATGTTCGTCGTGATTGCTCGGACATAGCTTTGTAAGAGTCGCCTAGTCTGCGTCTTCTGCTGAATACGCAATCTGTCTTGGCCCGCTGGCATCTTGTGCACTGCCGCGGCTCGTCGTCCGATCCCTGTGCGGCGAGAGAGCATCTGAGCTTCTGAGAACGACAGCGATCGCAGGCTGTGCGGATAGAGATGTGACTATGTCTGGATGTCATGGTGCTTGATGGTGTTCTAGACATCTAATATCCTCGTACGATCAAACCAATTTGTAACTATGCGTCCGACTATGACTAAGGCTCTTAGTTAAGTTCCCAAGGTTGCAATGATACATTCTAACCATGCCTTACAATACCAACTCTCCACCTATGCTGACAACTATATTAAGTCTAGTCCCTTCTGTCGACCTAGAACTGTGGTGTATTAGCTAGAACCCGGTATGTCCAATTGAAACTGTGTTGATTGAAGATGTGAGGATCCATTGTGGGATCCTTAGGGGTACATAATTATCTGATTTGTTACAACACCGTACTTCGTACTCCGTAGCTAATCCGAATCACAAATCCGAATTGGAGCATTTTCCTAAAACTAACTGCTATATCTCCTAAAAAGAAGAAACAGGGAAAGGAAAAAGACAAAGAAAAAGGACGATAATGCATCCGGTCGTTGCGAAATTCCACTAATGCAATGTAACAATAAATCAACTAAGGCAGAGCCCTCGATATTGCTCGGTATTTGTTCTCATGATGCTATGAGTGGGGCTTTAATCTTTCGCTGCCGACAATTTCGGAGGAAATAGTTCTCGTCCAGATTGTATGTTGTTTGGGGGCCATTTCTGATAATAATCTAGGCCAATCAACACGCCCCACCTCGGTGTCAGGAACGAAGCGAATGTGGGCTAAAATGCTTGATCCTAGCAACGGGCTTATCTCGTTTCAGCAAGAGCTGCACTCCCGTTTCTTGGTGCTGTTGATTGACATCCTGGTGCCCAGATCTGGTCAACCTCAATAGGGCAGAGGTGTAGAAAATAGACCTACGTGGTGTCCGTGCCCCGGGTGAGTGGAGGTGAGTGAGTGAGGGGAAACTCGACCGATATTGTATTATTTTCTAATTTCTTCTTGGATCGCTGTACAACATATGGTATTGCTTGTCTGGTCTCTGAAGACTAGGTCCCATTCATCTCGATATCATCGGCACGTTTCTCCCGTTCGAATACCACATTGGGTAGACTGTTTGTCAGTGGGCCTTTTAGCTTGTATTGTCGCTAGAACCCGAAGGATCTGCTTACGCGTCGTTTGACGGCTCGATACTCGCTGCAGCTTCTAGATTCTCGGGCGCAAGTAGGTGATGGCATCTTCAAGCGGGCGTTCACGCGGTGATAAGAGATGAGAGTTGAAGTGAGTGTTGAGTACAAAAGGGGGCTGCCATATTTCAAGATGGCCAATTCCCAGGCCTGCTGAAATGAGCTGAAAAATGTGGGATGAGCGAAGACGGATAGGAGTAGATAATCATTTGTTTTCAGCCTCCGAGTCAAGCATCTTTCTGCAGCCCCTAAGAGTGCTTAATCGACTTAGGTGAATGTTTTGCTCTCTTGGCAACGCTAGAGGCGAACGTGGGGTCAAAGTACAAAAGTTCGCCCGAGTCCGCCGAATTCAAACGGCCCCCAACGGCCCACAGGGGTTTTGTTGAACGTTCTACGAGCGGGGTAGATCCACATCACTCTAATTATGTTGTAAAGGTGAAGATAGATATCGCACTCCTCATTGACGTAATTGAAAGGGATACCCGTTCAACATTAAAGATAGGGGTCATTCTATAACACTACATTGAGTGGTTAACATCCCGTGACGCGACTAACGGGGGTTTTGTTGAACGTTCTACGAGTAGGGTAGATCCACATCACTACAATCGATGGTGTGACGCGACTAACAGAGGTTCTGTTAAACATTCTACGAGCGGGAGAGATCCACCTCACTATGATTGGTGGTCAATCCCCTGTGGCGCGACCTACGAGAAAACAGATCGGATGTCAGGGTGCAGCTCACGCAGACCATGTATACCCGATAAGAAGAAATTACCTGATTAGGACTAGCCCCGTACGTTTGACGTTTGACATATTTGCACCATACTGCATGTTTTCATATTTCCGGCCCTTATTTCTCTACTTCTTATTATATACGCACCTATACGGAGTAGAATTAAGTCTATTAGCTTACTACCGGTTTACTATCGGTAGGAGATCGGTTTATACTATAGTATACTACGATAATCTTAAGCGTTTTACTAAGTATACTAAGTGTTACTCCTCCGTACCGGTTTACCAGTTCTTAACTAGTAGCGAACTAGTTATATAATACTATTATATTATATTAGTTATATTTCTAAATTATTTTATTAATTTTAATGTATACTTTAGAAAAAAGAAGTAAAGAAAGTGGTAAAATAATAAGTAACATTAAGATATATATTGTTTCACACTAAGCGTACGGATTCCAATTTTGGAGATGTGACCCGATATTTGATTGAACAAACATAGGAGCTGTTTTGCTCCAGTTCTTTTTGAATGTTACATTGTAAATTCAGATCGTTAGAAATCAAAACTGATCCATGGAAAAGTGGAAAAGGATGCTTGCGCATGTCCTTAACATGAAGTTAAATAAGAGTTTATCATGCATCCTTATCATCACGTGCCGTCGTGTCAGGGACGCGTTAGACAACTTTCTTTTCGCCTAATGATTAAAGTCACTAGTCCGGACAACTTTGACAACTGAGTCCCGATGAGTTTGGATCGTGTCATTCAGGACTCTGACGAGGATGAACCCTTTGAGGGGGATGACCTTCCCCCCTCTGCCAATCACCTCCACCCCTCCGAGCCCGCATTGCCGCAGGAATATCAACATGCCCCCGCCAAACAGACAACCCACAATGCAGTGTATGAACACGATCATACCCCTGATGAAAGCATGTTCCCACAGCTGAATGTCAATTTTGATGAGTTCCTCCAATCGCAAGAACAGGGCCATTCAATGCTATCATCGTCGCAGCAGCGGCGGGAGGACAGATGGATACCCTCTACCAGTGACGGAGGAAGTGGGTCGGTTGGTACGATGCGATAGCATAGTTTGAAGAAGAAAATAAAGATTCAATCGATATGCTGATACCGAGAATAATCTAGGCGTCATGATGACGGAGATCGGACTCGCGCAGAGAAGACTTCTGGACGACGACCTCTCAAGTGCAAGCATACCACTCCCTTCTACAGCCGCCCTGTACTCGACAGAATCCTTTCAATCCGCGCGGTTTCCTACCATACCAAGTTATCACTCGTATCAGATGGATCAACCGGAGAGTGGCAGCTTCGCATATAATCCAGCACCCATTAGTCCCTACGTTGATACAAACCAGACATTATTGCCCACTAGACAGGGTATCTACGATTTGGCTCCACCTGCCGCCACTAACTCAATGACTTCGCCTCCAAAACTCATCCCTCACCAAGCTACCGAGTCCTTCATGGGACAGAACCTACGCTCAAACCCACAATCAAACCTACACCAGGAAGCCTCTCAGCCCAAATCTCAGCCGGCTCCCTGTTCCCCCCATGACACCGAGCCTCTCTCTTCCATTGTATCCATGCGATTCAGCGAAGCAAAGATCACCACAGCCGGAACCAGTCTCATTTCCCCGCAGCAATCCCAGTCAAGCGCGCACGACGAGCTTGCTCTGCCAGCTATCATGCCAACCGTGCCAGAGGTCGACACGCCCGGTGCAATCAAGAAGCGAGGACGGCCCAAGAAACAACTCATACCAGATAACGACGAGGATGATGAGCTAGCCAACTCTCGAGACCACGAGTTCAAACATCCTGGCGCAAATGGTGCGATTAACCCCTCCGATATCGAAGAGACCACGGAAGATAATACCCCAGCCTCGAGCGGAGTCTCCGAAGAGACTGACGAAGAAAATATAGAAGCAGCCCCCAAGCCCGCAAAATCAGGACCCAAGGAGCCGAAAAAGAAGAAAGCCAAAAAAAGCAAGACGACACCTGCCCCGAAGCCCGATGAAGAAGACGACGTGATATGGGTAGACACGAAGCCTCTCAGCGTGGAGCCTTCAACCGGGAATGCTACCCCACAGACAGAAACACCAGAGCCCCAAAGACAGGATTTAGACTCCAATGTTTTGGACTCAAACCCGCCTGTTGATCCCGAGGCAGCGATTTCTGCAGTTGAAGACAAGACGCAAAAAGCTGAAAAACCAGTGCCCAAGAAACGCGGACGCAAGCGAAAGCAACCAACCGAACAAGCGGAAACACCATCAGAGTCCGCAGATACACCCGAACCAAACAAGCCACCCTCCGGAGCCCAGACTCCTGCGTCGAAGTTGGCCGTCGTTGTCGATAATAGTCCCAGGTCCATGCTCGAAGCTAACACCGGTAACAACGATACATCTGCTATTCCAAGCAACGACCAGAACCCCCGACCACTTCCTGGACCCGACCCTCTCCCTGAAACTACAATTGATACCCCCCAGCCTCAGACTCCTTCGAAGCCCGATGCTGCATCTGTCAATACACCACAGAACGTAGGAAAGGGCCCGGATAAGCATAGTCCCATCTCGGCGCGGAGTGGGGTGCCTTACCGCGTAGGATTGAGTAAAAGGGCGAGGATTGCGCCCTTGCTTAAGATGGTGCGGAAGTAGGGCGATTTTCCCGCTCTCTTCTTGATCAACAGCGTCATTTCGTGTTTATTGTTGTTTCTTTTTTTGTTTTCTCTTTCATTGGGTTGGTCTGTTGCTGCTATTATTCTGCTATCATTATACCCCTCGAGAGAATGCTCTCGGCGTGCTGCTTTAATCTGTTTTTTTTTGCTTGTTTCTGTTGGTATTGGTATCTGCATATCTCCCATGGTTGTATGTCTATACTCACCCATTTATACGAAGTGGAAGAAACGTTGGCTTATTTCATAACATCGGCTGTGAGTTGCGACGATTTGTCTTGAGATCTTCTCAGCTAGTCTCAATATCGAAAAGTTATATCTATTTTGAGTAACAGGGTAAAATTTCACGGTTGAGGGACTATACGAGAGCGAATCATGATTAATCGAGCAGAAGACAGACTTTTGTATTGTATTGCAATTCTGCTACTTGATGATTCCCATTCCATGAGCTAACTAACCCTGCTGTGTCTGCCGATAAGTTCAAACGAATGGATTGGCCACAATAAAGCCACAGCATGTAAGCATAACTATAACATCGACAATGTAAACTCGGCCAAACAATCATAGCAATCCAATCCAGAGATCAAGATGATTCATCACATCCACATTGCAACGAGCAAAGCAAGGAACAACGATGTTGCAGCTGCGGTACCAATAGTTCGGAAATCAGAGTCCCCTTCCGATTTGTGGCCCTTGGTTTCAACCTTCGGGTCCCAGGCATCCCCATTGTAAGGAGCCTCAAGGGAACAATATCCGGCATCCTTTTGGCAGCCGCTTCCACAATGAATGGTGGTGTTGCCACAAGAGCTGGTACTACCACAGCAAAAGCCGTAGGTGGACCCGAGACAAGTGTAATTGGAACCACAGGAGCCGTCCCAGGAGATTGGCTTGTTGGGATCTGCCGAAGAAGTCTTCTTGGGCTTCTTCTTGTGAGTGGGCAGCCGGTTATCCTTGCGGTACCAGAGTGGCCTGGGATCTCGGAGACAGTCACCAACGGTAATGGCGCGATAACCCTGCCGCTTGATGCTCTTGAGCATGTGTTCCGTGAGGTTATGAACAGTCTGTTCATGGGCGTCATGAGCAATGACAAGCCAAGACTTGGTGCGTGGGTCGCTGTACAAGAGCTGTCGATCAAATATATCCTTGGAACGCTGAATCAGATCCGGACTATCGTTCTTGTAGTCATCCGTGTCAATGTCATACAAAATGATGTGGTACCCAAGCTTGCCCAGCTCATTTCCGCATTCTGTGTCAGGGCTGCAGCTGGAATAGGGTGGCCGCATGTAAGTGGGGAAGTTTCCAAGAATATTGCGCAGCGCAGCTTCATTCTTTTCAATTTGCTCACTGCGCTGTGTAGGGGTGATCTTGCTGAGGTCCTCATGTGACCACGTATGACTGGCGATCTGGTGGCCACTCGAGTGCATGCGTTCGATCAATGAAGCCCACGGCAAGGTGAGATCATCAATAGCACCCTTTCCGTTGTTGATTCCAGTGATGAAGAATGTCGCCTTCGCATCATATTTGTCAAGCAAATCGAGCAGATCGCCAGTGTAACGTGTCGGGCCATCGTCGAAGGTTAATGCAACAGTTCCGGGGATAGCGCATGAACGAATCTCGTGAGGGCCGTACGGAACTTGACCGATGTGAGGACGGGGGATTTCCTTGGTTGGGGGTCCTTGAGGCGATCGGTGAGCGTCACATTTACCGAAGTCAATCTTGCAGTCGGGAGAGCGACAGTGCGCCTTAGATGTGCCGCAGAAACCTATCGCAGAAATGGCATGAGTCGGTTGCTCAACCTAACAGGATTTTGACACATACCTGAACTAGAGCAGCATGTACCGACCGGACATTTGCCGATCTTGGGGCCACAGCGATAGTCCAAATTGTTGGGGGCATCACGGGTGTCCAAATGAGAGTCGGTCTCTGGTTGAGATTGTTCAAGCGAGACCGTATGCACAGGACCGGCATGCAGCCTAGCAAATGCACACGTCACCAAAGTCGTGACCAAGATGGGATGTATACGCATCTTGAAAATGGTATATAGGGTTATGTTATGTTCAACTGGATATGCAAAAGGTAATGGGTTGGGATAATAGCACCAGGTGATTCGGAGTGAGAGGAGAGGAGGGAAGAGACATGGAGCAACTTTGGAAAAAGTAATGGATGAGCTAGTTTCTACAAGGAGGAAAGAGCGAAGCTTTGGAGCATTTTGTTTACTTTAAAACACAAAACGCAGGAGCGAATCTCCTGGCAAGAGCGCCCATCCTTTACATATGGATGTAGAAGTGTATATGGACGCGCTTGTATTCAATATGAACGTGGGTATCGTGAAGTCCATGGCCATCTTAGACCCGGAGGGTTGGCCTAAGAACCCAGTACAATTTTTCTGATTTAGCAAATCACAGCCTAGGGTGCGATCGGTATGATCAAGACATGACCAAAAAATAGCCATATCAGATCAGATGCAGCACATCAAGCTCGTGCAGTAGCCCTCAGCATCACGTGCAAGGGTCTAGGCTACAGTGCCGGTCAGACATCTATCAGTTGTAGACCAGTGACTATGGCAACTCAGTTTGCTCGGGTGATGTTCTCCTCCCCGACTGCTGAGAAGACAAAGGGAGCAAGGGTATCCAGGTGTGGGCCGAACTTCGCAGGTGCAGTTCTCGCAATGACGCCAATCGCAGCGATCAAGTGCCGACGCTGGACCATGGAAATATTGGAAGACAGTGTTTTCGTCAGATTGGAGACAAATCCGTTAAGCTGGCTGTCGGAGAAGTGGAGCACAAGTGCCGAGATGGCTGCCAGGGCGCGCTTGGTGACAACGGTTCCAGCCGTGTCGTTTTGGATGATGGCCATGACGGATACTTGGAGGGCAGCGAGCTCTGACTCTTGGAGTAGAGGCCCAAAGCAGGTTACAACCTTGATGAGCACATCGATGGCATCACTGCTAAAGCCCCGCGATGGATCCTTCTCCATCATGCTCTTCACCATTGAGCCCCGCCGCCCTGTGCCGGAGGGTGTCGGCCCGGTCAAACGGGGAACTAAGACCTTCGAAACTGCCGAGTATGCTGTAATCGCATTTTGAGATGCAGGCTGGCCCGACTGGGGACGAGGGAGAGTATCGACGATGACGCGAAGAGCAGTATTGGGGACGGATGTGTCTATCGTTTGGGAGGCAGTCAGGCTGGCCAACTGCTCGAGGAGAGGTGTGAGGGATTCGAAGGGTAAGCGAACAGCGAGAGGACCGAGACTGGTTCAAATTAGAGATCAGTAGGACCGGAGGGAGATAGAGCTCATATTGCGAACCATTTGAGAGCCTGGTTCTGCACGTCGCCGTGCTGATCATCCAGGGACTTGAGCAGACCTTCTGCGAGTTTTGTTGATGTGCCACGATCGTGAGAGAGGAATGAAGAATTTGGGTTGGTCAGGATCCCATATAGATCGTTCAAGGACATGTATCTCAAGTCGGCATCGGGGTCATCAAGCTTCGCGAGCAGACTGAAAATTGTCTGCTGGGTAACTTGGCGATCCGCCATATTAATGAGGCTGTGACTGTTACGGGTGAATGAGGTTGAAGAAAAAGCCACCCAAGGTGATGAGTGAAGTAGCGTATATGAAAGGCAACCGGGGAGAGCTTGCGGTGGGAGCTTTGGAGAGACGCCGCAACGTGGGGTGTTATCGCCTAAGGTGTCAACTATTTCTGGCCTGAGGCACTACATTACAACTCCCCGACAACTATTCGAGATATCGAGCTATTAGCACAAAATATCTGTTTAGGATCAATTTTTTGTCCATTATGACATCTATATAGTCATTACCAATGAGTTGGCATTAAATACTAAAAATGTTCTGCCGAGGTCCAATGATTTGATCTGATAATCAGATAGATCGTTCCAGAGATCCACCCGAGATAGAACGGGCCCAACCTCCAAGAATGTTAGTTCTATTGATACAATACTAGCATTGAAGGTATCAAAAATCGTACCCCAAAGGTCTTCTATGAGTATCAGTTACTATTCAAATCCACCAAAGCCAACGTGTTTATCGAAGTACTGAATACTCAACCCAGCCACGCCCATTACATCACAACGCACAGACCAACTCGGAAACAAGTAGGACACGGTCTTACGACACCCCGAGGTTTACTTGCGAAAACCGGGAAGCTCTGTTGTACGTAGTGCTAACTTGAGTTTGTGCCCCTGTACTCTACTCCGTACCTAATTCACTCCTCTCAACCTATCACACTTTCCATATTCTCTATCCCTCCTACTCTATTCGTATAGGTTGCTACTACACAATGGTCTTTGCGCGCCGTTCAATCTTCCGCGCTGCAACTGCAGCTCAGTCCTTCCGTGCGGCTCCTATTGCCCGCCAGTCTGCCCAGCTCCTCGGTCGTCGATTCAAGTCTACTGGTGGCACCTATGAGAAAGGACATACATCCAGTGACTTGCCTTGGTGAGCTTATGTTCTTAAATCCGAGCAATTCGAGTTAGTCTTCTGATTAAGTCTGGTTTTAGGTTGGCGGTCTCTGCTGCCGTGACCGTTCCAATGGTGTTTTACCTTTGGCCTTCCGGTTCCGAGGGACACCACGACGCTCACGGAGATGAACACAAGGATGAACACACAGAGAAAGACGGCGAGGTAGAGGCGGCTTCGGGGGAGAAGCCTGCCGAGAGTTCCTCTGAGACAGCGCCAGAAAAGGAGGAGAAAACAGGCGCTGAGGAGAAGGGTGAGGAGAAGGGCGAGGAGAAGGCAAATAAGAAGGACGAGCCCGAGGAGAAGAAGGAAGAGCCCAAGGAAGAAAAAGAGTCGAAGGAGGAAGACAAGGAAGAGAAGCCCAAGGATGATGACTCAAAGGAAAACAAGGATGACAAAAAAGATGATTCCAAGGAGGAAGAGCCTAAGAAGAATGAGTCTAAGGAGGATGCTAGAAAGAGCGAGGACAATGACAGCGAGTCAAAGAACTGAAGACGCTTTACCTGCCTGTTGATGTTTGGTGTCCTCGTTCCTTGCTCCATACTTATGTATGTACCTGTACCTCTACTAGATATGAGATTTGAGATACCAGTCATGTTAGCGTGTCAGAAGATTTACCGATGGTTTGTCTAGATGTCTTTTTTTGAAAGGGAGTTCAGTGGAAAATAGAATATGTCATTCGCCGCACTCTTGTCGCTCGTTAAGAACACATCTATCTTGGTGGGTAGAATATGAAGAAGGAAGAGAGATCATAGTATCACCTTAACTGACAAGGGTAGGGGAAGCAAGAGCGAGGAAGACAAGCAAACTGCCCAGTTCCAACAGCACGTGACACACAAAGCCCTTTGTTCGGGGAGTGTTTGACAATCAACCCAGGTACTCAGGGTCAATATAGCTTGAATAGAAGGCCCAGACATATGCTATATGTGTATTTAAAGAGGATATACCGACACCACACACAAGGCCCAGACAAAACGGGACGATTCACAAAGCTCAAACATGTTACTTGCTAGTACTAGGTGAAAGGGGATTTTAACACGAAGGAATAGATATCATTGTGCCTTAAGCTAAAGAGTTGATTCTAAATCAAATTTCTCAATAGATACAGATATGGCTCTCTATGCAGGTAAGAAATATACCATGTCTCTAGATCTTAATAACAGACCAAAATACACTATTCCATCGCTGATAGCACAACATAAAGCCACCAATGTACCCACTCAAGCGTCAAACTTGTACTTCTCCTCCCGGTCCTAAACAAAAGTCAGAAATGTCCAAAACAACGCAGGACAAAACATACCCAATACTTGTTGAATCCAACACCCTCGCAAACCTGATCATAAGTCAAAATCATCGGCGGAGCTCCAACCAGCATACTCTGCTTAAGACCTTCCAAAGCAGACCGCAAACTCCTAAGATGCGCCGCAACCAACGTCCAAGGATACGCAACAGCACTATACCCAAGCGCAGCAAGGTCCTTAGCCGACATGTTCTCCGTCTTTCCACCTTCAATGATATTACCGAAAACAGGAATATCGATTTCCTCCGCACATCGCTTCATCGCCTCTGCATCTGGCAGCGCCTCGACAAAAATAGCATCAACACCAATACGCTTGAACTCTTGTGCACGCGCCATCGCCTCTTCCCAACCATGGATCAAGGCGTCAGTACGGGCAAGGACAAAGATATCCTTTCCTTCATTACGGGCATCGCAGGCAGCTTGAATCCGAGCGAATGCTTCGCCGCGAGAGACGACACTCTTTCCCTTTGTATGACCACAGCCTGTTAAAACAGCGGTTTTTAGCAAAGGAATATTCCTCGAGGTCCCCTTCAAGCATCTCAATATCCGAAATACTTACGTTTGGGCCATTGCTGGTCCTCGATCATAACACCAGCTGCACCGGCACTAGCAAAGCTCTCAACGGTTCTCTTGACGTTTATCGGGCTCCTGTAGCCCGTATCACCATCCGCCATAACGGGCACCGAAACCTGGCGGACGACATCGCGGATCTTATCGCACACCTCGGCCATGGCGATGTATCCTGTATCAGGGAGACCATAGGAGCTCGCGACGGCATAACCCGCGAGGAAAACCATAGGAAAGCCTGCTTCTTCGACGAGACGGGAGGAGAGACCGTCGTAGCTGCAAGCGTGTGCTAGGATCTTGGTTGGGTCATTGTGGGCCTCCAGCATCATTGTTCTCAGGCGGGAAGCTTCAAGGGAGGGGATCTTTCCTCGGACATTTTTCAATGTTAGGGTCAAGTCTGCCGTCTTTCCACCTGTGGACCCGGTTGTTGTCTCCGCGAGAGAATCGAACTGGAAGGGGTAGGGGACTGAGCTGGAAGACATTTCGAAGGTCGGTTTCTTGAATTGATAGAGTATTGAAGTGATGATTGGGGATTGGAGACTGAATTGAAGTCCCCTGATGGCTTTTAAGCTGTTTAAATACGGCTTTTAAAGTTCATTGCTTTGCATCAGAGCGGGAATTCGACGGATATTGGCAACTATCCGCTACCCGAATGACGATTAACTCAACCCTTTCCCCCTCAGCAAGAAGGATCTAGATTGGCTGGCAATTAACCTGGCGGAAAGTTAATTATTTCCCCAGCTTTACTCGGCTGTGTATGCAGAACACCCGTCATTTTGCGGGGAACGTACTAAATGCAGCTTTTATCCGCCTCTTCCCCACGGGGTAAGGAAAACTTTGTGTGCCGAAGTCCAAAATACGCACTTTCATTGGACTGACCCTATATGATGCTTCCAGCAATTGCCGCACATTAACCAACAGGGATGGACGTATTTCAAGCTGGGGTTGTCCCCTGTCACTGCTGCTCTCAACATCAATAACTCCACCCCAACATATTGAATACAGTCAGACATGGCGGAAAAGAATCAATCCGAGCAGAGCCCAAGCTCTCAACATGTGGAATCTAATGATTCAGAGAAGCACCAGCCCCAGGTGGCGATCCCTCTAGAGCGCCAGTCGGCTATTCGCAGAAAGGTTCATCATTGCTTCATTGCCGTATGTCTGACTTTTTGCTTACTATCATCTAGTTTGATCGTCGTGTCTTGCCAATTGTATGTATTTTATACATTTTATCATACTTGGATCGCGGTAAGCATGCCGAACTCGCTCATTAAATCCTCCATCTCATCAATACCCAGGAAATATCGGCAACCCCAAGGCTGCCGGGCTTGACACAGATCTTAACCTGAGTGACTACCAATGGTCGTGGGTCTTGTATGCCTTCTATATCTGCTACATCCTGTTCGAGTGGACTACAGTTCTATGGAAAATTCTACCAGCACATTCCTACATTGCCGTTCTCTGCATTTGGTAAGCTTTTAAATCCAATCATACTTTTATTTCCATTGCTAAATATGCTGTTTTAGCTGGGGCACAGCTGCAATGTGTAGTGGTGCAGTCAAAAGTTTCGCTCAAATTCTCGCGACTCGGTCCTTGCTGGGTATCTTCGAATCTGTCTTTGGCAGTGGTGCACCGTATTTCCTCTCTTTGTTCTACCAAAGACAAGAACTAGGACTACGGGTATCACTACTCCTTGGCATGTCGCCAGTCGCCAATTGTTTTGCTTCTGCTCTCGCCTATGGTATTACCCACATCAGGGGATCAATAGAGCCATGGCGCTACCTATTTATCATTGGTGAGATACTAAGCTCCCACCTACTTCCATCTATCCTCAACACTAACATCAAATAGAGGGCGCTCCAACAGTTCTCTTTTCAGTGGTAGTATTCTTCTTCCTTCCAGATTCACCAGGCACAGCATCCTTCCTAGACGAAAGAGAACAAACAGAAGCAGTAGAACGACTCCAAGCCTTCGACACAACAAAGAAAAACAAAGTCCGCTGGTCCCAAGTCCTGAGCGGATTATCAGACTACAAAAACTACATCCACATGTCCATCCACTTCTGCTGTAACTACTCCTTCGCGGGACTCTCAAACTTTCTCCCAACAATTATCCAGCATATGGGATATACATCTATCAATGCCCAAGGACTATCAGCACCACCCTACCTCGTCTCCTTCCTCTGCTGCGTAGCAGCCGCTTTCCTCTCAGACAGATGGGGAAAACGGGGAATCCTAATTGCATTTTTTGCAACGATGGGGACAATCGGGTATCTACTCCTCACATGCGTGCAAGACCAGTCGAACACCGCGGCGCGGTATGCGGGTGTTTGGCTAGCGACTTGCGGGATCTTTCCTGCTCTCGCGCTGAATATCACTTGGTTGTTGGATAACCAGGGTGGGGAAAGTAAGAGGGGCGCTGGGATGGCTATTCTTGCTATTTTCGGACAGTGTTCTAGCTTGGTTAGTAGTTCTGTGTTTCCCAATTCTGATGCGCCGCTTTATACGCTGGGATGTGGGATTGGGTGTGCTTTTACTGGGTTGATTGTCGTCTTGGCTATTGGGCTGAGTGTTAAGTTATCTTTGGAGAATCGGAGACGGGATCGGGTTTATGGGGTTGTTGGAGTGAATGAGAGGGTTGATGTTACTGATGCAGGTGATAATCATCCTAAATTTAGGTATTTGACTTGAGGGACTTGGATAGTTCGTTTTATTTGTGATTTACTAGCCGTTAAACTTTTTGCTGACCATTATATGTTATTCAACCGTTGAAATTCATTCTTTGTTTTGTATAACGCTATACTTTCATGGAGGTAATTGCCACAAAAAATCCAAATCCAAATCAACACCATCCAACCGAACCCCAAAGTCCCCCTCTGAAGATCCAAATGGTGCCATAGAAGGATCCAAAGGCAAAGATAACCAGTCGTTCATAGTGACATCTGAGAAATCCCCTGGGTCCATAGCCGACATATTCGCATATGAATTGGGAGAAGGAAGATCACTTCCGATCCCGGAGTATGAGGATACCAAACTTTCTCGCAGACGCGAGACTTGGACTTGCAACAGGGCTGCATAGCGGGATTTCAAATGTACATCATCCTGATTGCTATCCTGTAGGGTGACGATGGCCCGATCGAGGATCTGGAGTGCTTCCTGCAGTTTTGAATTGCGTACTCCCAAAGCGAGCGCTTTCATAAGAAATATCGACGCGCTTATTGTTCGGAAAAGTATTCTCATTGGTGAAAAGTGTAAGGATCCACCCAAGAGCGTTACCTTGTCGAGGGTTTGGCAGCATCCGTCTATTACTTCTTCGATGAAGCCGTATTCTCTCGCGGTAATGTTTAGTTGTCTTGCCCGTTCAATGAAAGAGGAGTCGATAATTGAATCTCCTCGTGATGGAGGTTGGGTTTGGTCTTGGAGGACTCGTTGGACAATCCTTTGCATTCCGATGGAGTTAGTGAGGATGCGTAGATGTTGATATTCGATGAATAGAGTATCTGTGTAAGGAAAACTTGAGTCTGTATAAAGTTAGTGATTAATGCAAACTTTGGTCTTCCAATCTCATACCTGATATATTGAGATATCGTTGTTGCCAGCTCGCCAACAGAACTTGTTTCCTCTCCAATGCAGGGATGAATGTATCCGACGACCCAGTCGAGCTGGAAATATTCATGAGTGGGAACAGAGTATCCGTGACTGAACTGGTCAACTTCATGAGTTCAATCCAGGCGTTCATGAACAATAACCAGTCTCTATCGATAGACTGCAAAGATGTTCGCGTCTCAGGCATGGATATCCCGATATCAGATGGCACTGGCGAGGTACAACCTATCCGTGAAGCTAAAGCATTGATGGAAGTGAACAGTAGACTCGGCACTCGCTGTCGCCGTACCTCAAGGTATTCAAGATATCGCTCAGCATCAAGACCAACCAGATCATCTTGCCTGACGAGTCGAGCGCTGGAGTCGAACACACCGAGTTCATGTGCGAGAGCCAGGGCTGAGTTGAGGACCATCCAGGACATACGTTCAAACCGTTTCGTAGGCTCAACGACATCTTCCCGCCATCGTGAGGATACTGGGATATCTTCGGTTAGAGAGGGCGGATCTCTGATGTCCGGATTTGTCAAGAGGAAGTCTGAATCCCATCCATCCGCCTCTGGTGGAAATTGTAATGCTCGTGGATGCCATTCAGACATGAGTAGTAATGCTTCAATGCTTCCTATGGTGCGTGTTTTGGCTTTCGAGATTTTCTCTTGCCCCAGAGTAATCCGGAGAAGCAAGTGCTGACAATGTTGCCATAGCCGGTGATGGATGAAGAACGAGCGAGAATATCCGCCCACTCCAGGAAGGGTGTGGTATCGGGAGGAAATCATGAGGATAGTATAGCAGAGCATTGGTTCCTGAGTTACCAGATAGTATTGATTTTTATGCGAGGCGAAAAAGTCCGTTAGAACAGGCGATAGGGGTGCCATATTTTCGAAGAATCTGATCATTGTTAATGTTAGTATAGCAGCCCAAGCATCTGGTAGGCTGGGTAACATACAGGTCCATCAAAACCACCGCTTCCTGGGCAGAGAACCATCCCATTCTCACGAATCGACATGCATTCCAAATGCGGAGGACATCGGCATCGGTCAGCTCGGGGACTATCGATCGTGGATAGTCTGTCGTTGACTTGTTCTGAGAGGTATTGTTCGATTCCTGTAGTGCAGCCTCGAACAAAATATTCATTGCATCATTGTTATTCGAGACTACCCTCTGTAGCACTGATGTGGAAAGACCATCTTGAATGACCGGCGCATCTAAATGGGAGTCTGTAAGGTGAGTTTTGATTCGCTGTAATTTTGCCTCCTCCACAATTTGTATAGAGGACTTGCTGTTACTCTCGTTGCTTTCTTCAGTTCTTCGGGTAGTTTTCCGTGATCTGTCCAAGTCAGTCCCTCTCATCTCTTACAGTCAACGCTGGGATGCAAACACACTTATTAGACCCTTTTCTTCCTATATTTTCTCGGGTGGTTGTCTCAACAGGATTGGTTCCATCTCTTGACCAAGGCTTCTTTGAAGTAAAAGTGCAATTGATGTTCTTGTTGGTGCATCTGCGACATCTCACATTGTCACCGGCCTGGCACTTCACTTTGCGTCGCGCACATGGAATGCAAGCCTTGTATGTCCGCTGATACTGATAGTCAATAGATCCCCTCCCTTTTCTCTTTGCACTATCCATAGATGCTATCCTGGGGCGATGAAAGACTTAAGTGGAGAGAAGGCGGGAATTTCAATGAATACCCGCGCTCGGGTATTTAACCTTCCCCACACTAAGAACACTTATTGGCTGCATGTTGTTCGCCGAAATAGTTATAAAAATAGAATTCATAAGTACGTAGAGATGGAGGGATAGAAACTATAACACGAGAGTAGGAGGATGTAGGAACTACGTGAACAAAGACCACATTTTTTTGTACAGCTTATTTGAATACTACAATATCTATATCGCACAATACCCAGAGCCTATGCGACTCCTGTATCTTACTAATTCGAACAAACTACGCAAAGAGAAATAAAGAAAATCAGCAAATAGATTCAAGACGTTGATAAGGGCATCTTCCTCGGTTAAGTACAAGCCACAGAGAACAAGAATCACCGGGAACCCTGGCGTGAAATCAGAATAGACAAATTCACAAATGTTGGATTGCATAGGCATGTCCATTAAACCCCAACCGACTCATGGAGATCTGACAAACGGAATGGCATTGTTTCGGACACTTGCATGAGATCCACCCAGGACAAATTCTTCGCCCCAACCGCTCTGAAGTCATCCAGAAACTCCCAAATCTCCTTGACAACACCCCACTGCGCGCTGATGTTGGGACAGTCGTATTGTTGCAATGAGCGCCAGAAATACTTCCAAGGCCGGCGGTCAATGGCATTGCAGGAGGCCACAAAAGCCGGGAAGGTGACGGGAAGATCTCTGCAAAGCAAGTCGGGTTGCAACTTCATCTTGATCTCTTCAGCACGGCGCAGACATTCCAGGATGTCTTCCACAGTAGGGCGAAGATCATTGTCAAAGATGTTGAGCAATCGATTGTGGAAATAAACGTTGGCGGAGAGGTACCAAGCAAGTTCAAGGTTGTTGTGCATTATCTCTTTTGGGTCGTCACCGGTGTTAAAGACGAGCGGGATGTCATAACCTGGTTGAAAGGTCTGCAGGTGCGTGGACAACTGGTTGATACCTGCAGTCAGGTGCTCAGGTACTGGAATTTTCTTGTACTCATAGCTTTCGATTGCTGCAGCTAACTTCTCCGTTTGAGCGATAGCAAACTGCGTAAGATGGGTGGCGCCGTCCATAGAGCCAAAGGGCTTGGGGAATGGCATGGTGACAGAGGGTTGACTTGACGACAACTGTGGTGATTCACAAAAAGAGAAGGGGAAAAAGAAGAAAAAGAAGAAGCTCGAGGGGGAAAGCACAGTATTTAAAGAGGTACCTTTCTCGGCGAGTCATATGAAAACGACCAGATATTGTAGTCAATCACGTATCATCGTATAACAGTTACGATCGATGCCTAAGTACCCCCGAATGCCAATCACTTATCACACTAGGCATCGAAGTATGGCGTCGACATGAGATTCAATCATGCCGTTAGAAGTTTAATAGGGATCAATGAATGGTGCTATTGATACGAAAAGAAGACAGGCTTGGGATTGACATTAAAACTGGGAAATGGCTAGATCTACAAATGTGCATTACAGGAAGAAAGATAACCGCTGGGAGACAATTCGTGCACTCCGAAAACTATTTTTCAACCGAAAGAGGGAAAAAAGGCGGCTGGGAACCGAGTTGCAAAGCTATACGGAGTACCCAAATAGTAAACATGTACATATTGTAGTGGGGGACATAGTCCTCGCCATGTGTTAGGCTCGCCTGTCCTTTCTTTTTGAAGTTTTGTTATGAACGCACTTCTTGGACGATTGTCCTGATTTACTTACACGTGCTGAATCGACCTGTAAGCCAAAGAGCATATAGCCTTGAACGTTCCAATCTTCAATGTGTAAATGTATACTCCGTCCACGGGTATGTGGAGCCAGCTGACCGTGGGTTTCTACGGTGTTAAGGTTTGATGTCGTATTGAACCAGCGTAAGATGCGTAAGATCAAAACGAAGTATACGCTGAGATACGAGGAAGGAACAACCAATCCATGGATGTTGTTCTTTCCCGCTTGACATACTTTGTAAATTCCGACCCCATCTAAACAGCTTTTACTATTCCTTGATGCGTGGCAGAAATTGGCACTATGTTCTCGTTTTCTATTGTAGAGAAGGCTGTTATCATGACTCACTAATTGGTTATTTCCATCAATGTATCACATATGTGTATATCTATCTTGTTTGGCCGTTTTCATGACTCGAAAATGGCCAAAATACGCTAGACAGAAATACATAGTAATGGAACTCAGGAATATTTCAGCGGGTGTTGTTCAAGGACACAATTAGGAGTAATTTCACTTGTGCTTTTTACCATCTGCCCCAATCATGGTGGAAGCAACTCCGGCAAATATTGACTGGGAGGCCCATGTTGCAGGCCAGGCAAAATTGGCGTCAATATCCTGATGATCCCCACCTGACACAAGTTGATCAATGACCGCAATAAAAGTATAGGCACCGATACCGGTGAAGAGATGCCACCTGTATATAGAATCAGTCGCTCGGCCCTTGAATATCTATCGTAGAAGTATAGATACTAGGTACAACTTACCATCCATGAAGTTCTAGTAGCCATGCCCAAGGAAGCCCAATTGCCGCTCGTACACTCGTAAGCCATTCACAGGCCCAGCTATCAATAAGCCAGACAATATATCCAAGATGAAAGATGCCTTGATTTAGAATTAGATTGGCTGCCCATAAAGAAGTATCTCAGCGGTGCGTTGTTTGAGAAGCTGAATAGTCCGAATGCCGATGATAGTGATGCTGCTAACAAAGAACGAAGCATGAACAATTAATTCATCTGTTGTGACGTGGTAAATTATAAGTAGTGAGAGAGCTATGTAAATAACTGCACCCGCGACAAATGAGTCTTTGCGATTGGCGTTTACTGTCAAGACTCTATGTAGTAGTGGGGTGGTTGTGAAAAGCATCGATAGGTCGTCCAGCATCTGAGTGTGGTATTGAAGACTAATGTGGTAGATCGCAGAGCAAAGGCCAACTGCCATCAAGCCACAGTAAGGGAGGGCGCGAGAGAAACTAATACTGCGGGCCTGCTGTAATCGGCGTAGGCCGTAAATCGCATAGAAGACTAAATGGCTGTGTTAGAGCTCACACACTATCCTAAGATCCCTCTACGTACTATAACATAGGTTGGTTAAACTGTTGATGAATTCCGCGACATATCTTGTCACAACATAATCCTAAAAAGAAAAAAAAAAAAAAAAAAGTTCAAAGTTAACTGCATAGATCGTATGAGTCGAAGTGGGGCTGCTACCTGTTCGCAAAAGCTAGACCATGTTAGCTGACGACCTATCCGAGATGTAAGGTAACAAACTTGGCTTTAGAGCTTGGTGGGCCCCAAAAGGCATCGATAGGGGTGTTGAATTGCATTATGGTTTCGCTGTGTGAGAAATTGAAAATATAGCTAGAGGCACAAAGAAATAGGTGAACGGATAAAAAGAGAGACCCATGGCAGATGCGTTATAAAAGAAAGATCCTGATATAAGGCAACAGAATATAAAAGCTGACAAAGCACATAGCAAACAAGCAAGGTAGCCTTGGAAGATAATCTGGCGACGTCCTGGGTCAATCATAATCAATAGGCGAAAAAAGCCACGATGAGACTAGAGGTCGGGGGGCGGATAGCGTTGCTTGCAAGGCTCTGTCATGATCCGAAGCATCCCTGCATTTCTTCCTCGTCCACCTCCTAGTGCCGATATTCTCCTGCCTTGATTTTGCCCGACCTCCACTCAGCATTTTTGGGAGAGCGTATCTTCTATCTGCCTGCATTTTATTTTTCGTTGTTGGAGCGGCCTTGGTTGGCGCCGCTCCATCGATCCATGTCCTTATTGCAGGTAGGGTTCTCCAAGGTGTCGGCGGAGGGGGCCTGGATGTTTTGGTTGAAGTTATCGTGACGGATATGACAACTCTGATGGAACGGGCATTCTACATTGGCTTGCTAAATGTGCCTGTGGCTCTTGGCTTTATGTTAGGCCCGGTAATCGGTGGCCTATTCACGACATATTTTAGTTGGAGGTGGGTGGCATGGATCAATTTGGTACTTTAAGTAAACACCCACCATGGGAGATTCTCCTCTGCTGATAATGTCTCACAGCCAACATTAGGTCTTGCCTTGTGACTTAGTATCCTTTTCCTTCGATTGCAACCGATTGAAATGTCAACACAAATGAAATGGGCGCGGATTGACTGGATAGGGATGGCCCTGTTCGTTGTGGGATTTGCAGCCATCGTCGCTCCCCTGAGTTGGTTCTGTATCCGTGGAAATCTTGAGAAACTCTCGTGCCACTTATAGTAGGCTCATTGACTCTAACTATATTCGTGGTATTTGAAGGGCGCAATGCAGACCCAATGCTTCCTCATCGCCTGCTCTCAACTCCGACCTCGGTATGCTGCATGATAGGGTCCATGATTCATGGTATCATGACTTATGCTATCATCTATATTCTCCCCCTCTATTTCCAAGGAGTTGAAGGAGAATCCGCCATACAATCTGCGATCAGCTGCTTCGTCTTCATTTTTATTGCGATTCCTTCAGGAACACTTGCGGCGTTTCTTGTCCCCATGTTTCGCCAATATAATTGGATTCTATGGACAGGGTGGATCACTCTCAGCGTCGGTGTCGGGACCATGTCGCTCCTAGATGTGAAAACTCCTCGGAGCGAATAATTAGGATTGCAAACTCTAGCTGGGATTGGAATCGGTATACTATTTAAGGCGATTGCTATCCCATTGCAAGCCAAGGTAAACCCCGACGACGTCGGCCTCGCAGTGGGTACTTTGGTCTTTTTTCGACTAACTGGTCAAGTGATCGGTCTCGCAGTCAGTGCAGCCATATTTTCAAATGTTTATGCTGTGCAGGTCTCCCGATTAAGAAAACTTCCATCGGTAGCACATCAGTTTACCGATGGAAACACGGCTATATACGCTATTGCTCAATTACCCTCTCTGGACAAATTTCCGGCCGCGAAAGCCGAGATCTTAGGGTGTTATGCCGTGAGCCTGCATTGGATATGGATTTTCTTGGCCGTATTGGGTCCGATTGGCCTATTTACCTGCTTCTTTATCAAATTCGAGAGATTGGAGGGTGAAGAAACCGGGCAACAGCGTTCTATTGAGACCAAACCCAATAGTGGAAACCGCAGTCAAAGACCTCAGGCAGTTTGCAAATGATTTGATCTAGAATCTCATATCTTTGCGCGAATTAATTACTAAGCTAGTAGAAGCACCTGGGCAATTAAAACGCCTATACCCCCCTACGAAGAAGGCCTTCGCTACCTTTACAGCTACGAATGAGAGTATTACTAATATACGGGTTATGCAAAAACCAGGGTCAGAAAAAAAATGTATGTCTAGAGAATAGATCATTTTAGTATATTTTATTTGATGGAGTTTCGGTTGAGATATATACATTTGAAATTAGTAGGTTAGATTAGGTGGGCCACTCGCTTGTGAAATACGTTATCTCAATCCCCTATAAAAACATAGATGAAGCACATGAATGCCAACAGAACATCAAGAAACTGGCAATCCAGTAAAAATTACTTAATTCATATGCTCGTCAAAAACAAGCGCCGGCGCCCGCTCTTCTAAAGGGCTATCCAACAGGCACAGCCAATGCACCAAACTCAGACCCAGCTTCAACAAATACATAAACAGCATATCAACACATCCAGAGGATCATCTGGTAACCTAGCCACTTGATCCAAAAGTATAACTATAACACGGTGAAAATTCCCGGCTTTTCATACCTATGTAATCGAGTGAATCATAATCGATTAAATGGTGATCAAACTCCAACAAAAGCGCTCACCTTACGCCTTTCTGCTGCGAGTCCGAGGGCCACGCTGTTCAGCCACAGGCTCACCGTTGAGCAGAACCTGGGGGGCGTGGTTCTCCTTGCTGGTCTGGTCTGCGCCAGTGGCAATTGCCTTGGTCGCATTGACAGACTCCAGCTCTTCCTCCTCCTCTTCGTCCTCACTGCGCTCGTCTTTTGTGACATTGGTGAAGATGTAGTTGGAAAGAATGCGCAGGATCAGGAATAGCCAGAACAGGTTGACAGCCTGCAGACTGGCGAGCAGCGAGAAGGTGATATACTGACTGATCCAGCACTTGTACTGCTGTGTCTCCCAGTTCAGCTCGAATGGTCCAACAGTGCGGAACTCGGTCAGAACAGCCCAGAGGATCTTCAGGTTCAGCACGTGACGCAGGTAAATCCACCATCCAACAAACATCGCAAAGTACGGCGCAGTGATATACGCATCCAGGTAATTGAGCGTCTTAGATGTGGCCAAAAAGAAGTCGGAGATATCGTGCGTGATATACACCGCCAAGCCCATGTACGTGAAATGGAAGCGGTAGCTCAGCGCGATAAGCGCAAGCGTGATGATGTGGTGACCAACAAGTTCCTTAAAGTCCTTTCGAGGCTTCTCCAACTGGAGCAGCAATACAATCGCCTGCTGGGCCCAGTAACTCGCCTCGAGCAGATAGTATGCCTTGAACAGACCCTCGTGCTCGCGGTGCGGGAAACCTTCAAACATCGCCGTCGTGTTGAAGTACCAGATAGTCGACCGCTTCATCACGTACAGACCGAACGGTCCGAAAACACCGAAGTAAACTGCCGTATACGCCTGCTCCATGAACCGCGCTGTTTTTCCCTTCCCGCGGATACCACACCACACGGCAAACGGCCGGATGAGCTGCTGCATGATGAATTCGCGCGTGAACGACAACACGATGGTGTAGAACGCCACGAATGCAATGTCCTTCTTTCCCTTTCCGTACATGATGGGTCCGCCGGGAGTCTTCGGAGGCTGCGGGTAGGACAGGAAAATGGCGCTGTGCATCGGGTTCGAGGTTGTGGGGTTAATGGCGTACAGCGCGATCAGGAACAGCATTATGAGAAGCGGCAGGAGCCATGTGTATCGCAGACAGGTATCCGCGAAGCGGTGGAGGAGGGAGCGACTGCGGCGACGTTTGGACTGAGCCTTGCTGGCCTGTTTGTGTGCGCCATCGAATTGCTGGCGGGATCGCGGATTAGTGTGGGAATTGGATGCGCGGGCGAGAATTTTCACTGCGTACCTTCAGATCCGGAGATGTTGACTCGATCGGGCTCACTTCGTTCATTGTGGACATCGCAGGTGCGCTGGTGTCACCTCGAATGTCCACGCCCAAGGCTGATCTTCCCCGCGGGCGAACCATGACGATTGTGGGAATTCCGAGCTTCGTACCCTGTTGGACTCGGGGGGCGTTTGGGCTCACGTGCTCCAATGGAAAGAGATGAAAAGAGGGAAGGAGAAGGGAAACTCGGTGTTCATAACCGGAACGATCGGATAGAGTGAGGATCGTGAAAGGCGATCATCCATTTTTTTTTTTCCAGGGGTGAACTCCACCCCCATTGACCAGACAGCTTCGCAGCTCCGGTCGGAAAGTCTTGGCAAATTATCTTCCTTTGATGTGCTTTTCGCATTGGACAAATCACCTTTCGCAAGATCCTATATACACCCCGGGCGGGTTTCCAATTTGTCTACGACTACCAATCAAAAGGTCAACACTTGCGAGACTTCTGTGCACAACGAGACACCTTTACGATTCAGACACGTTTACGATCTTACCGTTCCGAATACGAGCTAATTGAAGAAGTGGATAAAAAATAGGGTTGGATCAGACTAAATTTGTGGAATCGTATTACATGACATCATATCGACATTGACCATGTCTAACCCAAGAGAGAAAGAGAAGAGAACATTATAACGAGCCATCTAACTCGTTCTATACACACTCAACACCTATACGTCGACAACCTCAGCGTGGGCGGCAGCACGCTTCTCAGCGCCAGCCAGCTTCTCACCAAGGATCTCAACATCACCCGACTCAGCAGCAATAGTGCGCTTAGTATCGTGGGTAGTCCTCC